TGATAGACAACAGTGAGCATCCTCTTCCTCAGACTGTTGAACCTGGTAGACTGCAACAGAAGATCCGTTCTACAGGATATATGGAAGGACAACCGTCAGTTATTAGGTTCAATCAGATTTCTTCCTCCAGAAAGCCGAGTAAGAACCAAAGGACCACTGAAGAAGTTCATCTGATCAACGTAGAGGAACCTTGTTGGCCTTCCAAGCCTACCATGCACCGCTTTCACTATCCTTTGCTAAATTAAATATTAAAGACAGCTTGAGTTGAAGCTCAACCAGCAAGTAGTAATTCTACAGCAAGACGTGCAGAAAAGCTGTTCCAGAATGAGCAACCAGACGGATCCGTGTGGAAAAGTGGACCAGCTTTGTTCTGCTGAAGCTCTGGCCTCTAATGTTGCCTCTGCTGTAGGACCACTGCATCAACACCATCAGCTGGATCTAAGGCGTGGATCTAAGGCAATCATTTGTTTCTACATCATGTGAGAGGAAAAAAACCGACAATAAAAGTTATCAGCATTCAAATTAAATTCAATTAATTATTCTTCATCTTGGTTATGGATTCTATAGTGTCACTACTTTTGCAGCCGAGGTACAAATCTTTGCTGCTCCATGATCAGTGTGTTCTTGGTCAGAGATCAGAGGAGAGGCCAGGTTTCCCAGTCCGGATCAAATGTCCCAGAGATCCCCTCCAGCTCCGTGCCTTGATGCAGACAGATGCAGAGACGGGGCGGCCATGTTTAGCCACCGAAAGGCTGCCTCTGTCTCACCTTCTGAGGAAAACGGAGTTTGGAAACCAAACTGTTAAAGCCTTTCATCTGGAGCAGAATGACCTGCAGATGCATTTTCACAATCTGCAGATATTTCACGCAGAGCAGACTCATCATTTTTCCTTTTTCTGTAAAGCATTTAAATGAAACGCCGTAGAGACGAGATGCTTCAACATTCTCAACGTTTAGGAATGTTTGACAGCTCCATGTTCAGGAAAACTGAATTTGATGTTTTTGATTTGGACGCTAAAAAGCAGAGAACAGGATCCTGATGATTGTTGAGGGTTTCAGTGCGGCTGGTTTAGTCCGACTGATCACTGACTATCATCAGCCTCCGTCTCTGAAATGATCCCTGCAGCCAAACTAGGATCAAAACCAGTAAGATAGGATCAATATTCCAAAGGTTTAACAATGAAAAGGGGTTGATTCTGCCGGCCTGCAGTTCAAGCAGATCTTCCATTATTTATATTTTGCTTTATTGAAAAACTGGAGCAATAAAACCTCAGTTTAGGTGGAGCTCAAACAGAAATAAATAGTTTAGAGCATCATCTGCAGCTGATTTTCAGAGATTAAATATCTCTGAGCTCCTCCTGGGTTCCTCAGAGCAGCAGCTCCTGCAGGTACCAAGCTTTAAGAGGAGGCTCAGAGGAGCCACAGCTCCTCCTCCCGCTGCTCCTCGTCCACCGGCAGGAGTTCAAACCACAGGAGCTTTAATCCTGTTTGTCCTGAAATGGGCCACAGATCAGTGCATTCTGTTCTCCGTTACTTTCTGCTCATGTTCAGTAATGGGGTTAGAGGAGAACATGGGATCGTGTTCCAACCTGCTCCTCCAGGAACGGAGTTACTCCATCGATGGGATCTCTGCGTATGCAGCATTCATGGAAGTCTTAACCTGCTGAAGTTTCTATGAAGTGCAGACAGGCAAGCACAGGTTGAAATGGGTTCCCCAAGGGCTTCCAAATCAGGACTCTGCTGCTATGGCAACCACGCTAAACACAAGAATGGGACCTGGGCTCAAACAGCTCCAACCTTTGAAAGGACTACGCTGGAGGAAAGGAACGGAGCTCCATGCTGTACAGAAAGGTACGCCGCCCAGCAGGTTTCCATAGCAACCCCCCCCCCCCCCCCCCCCCCCAAAAGACAGTGGAGCAACCTTGGAAACATCCAGAAAAGATTGAGTGTCACTCAAAGAGTGCAGCCAACAGCAGGATGCATGTTTAAATCTGTTGGTTAGGGAACGGCCCTGAATGTGTTGGGCCCCAAGAAGCCATGGAGCCACAGAAATGATGCATTTATGGCCAAGAACGAAGATCCAATCCTTCTAGATCCAGATTCTACCAATGGTCAATTTACAGACCAGTTGTGGACCAAACTGGTCAGAATGTGTCTGATTCTTTGAGTACATGAAACTGTTTTATGGGTGGAAGTGCAAGAACGTCCCAGGAAGCTAAAATTCACGCTTCAAACTGGCAGCAAGATGGTGGCAGAACTTCTCTTCTTTATTGGATGCAAAACAGACTTGAAGAGAATTGCATTTAAAAAAAAATTGGCCATTTCCAAATCACAAAGGCAGAGAATGTTTGGTCCTTTGGATGACGACGCATCATTTCTCCCTCCAGCCCATGAGGCTGCAGCCAAAGCAAAGGCGTAAAAGAGTCCGAGCCGTGCGTTAATCCATGCAGGCGGCGCTTTTAAAGATTCAGGAGAGCATCTAAAGCCATGAGAACAATGAAGCCCTGTTTGTTCACCAAACTCTGCACTTTATGTTCAACAAGGACTGGATTTAAAAAGAAAATGTTAGGATTTTTGGTTTAATCAGAGCATCTCTGCAAACATGGAGATCTAAAGAGCAGATTAGCTTCCTGTGATTAAAGGGAAATCGTGTTAGAATTGCATTTTTTGTGGAAAAGAGGAAAAAAATTGCAGTTTTCTGTTGAATCTGATCAGCCTTAATGCAAAACTATGATGAGCAGCTGCAGGCTGAGCCAACGCGACTCTGAAGCTCATTATTCTCACTGCTTCCAACATCATTTATGTGCACAGAATGTTTCCTTTAACACGTCTTAATATTCATGATTTGAAATTATATTCATTTCATGCATCTTAATAATTTCTTGTTTAACTTTTGGAAATCTTCGGTAAAAGCAGCACTGAAGGCTAAAGCCTGCAGGCTGCAGACCTCCTCCTCTCCACAGTATCTCTGTCAGGGTGGGGCAACATGAGCATCCAGGTGTAGCCGGACATGCATGACGATGCAAACCTCAGTTTGACACCATCTTTCACAGCTGCACAGATTGATAACGGTTTTCCTCTGGGTGGAGCAGATTACCGGTTGCTCCTCAGTAACCCTTGTTACTTTTCCAATCCTCTCAGTTTGCAGCAACATTTCAAACATTGAGGAATGTGAAGAAGTGAACCGACTGAAGGATTCAGCAGCAGTGGCAGAAACATTAGGAAATAAAAGCAGCAGGCAGAGATGGCAGCTTAAGTAATCTGTGGTGAGTGTTGCTGCCTGGGTGTGGTCATCTCTCCGCTACCAAAAGAGGAAGTAAAGTAGGGAGGGGGCCGCTTGCTCATCTTCAGATGAAGGAGTCAAAGAAGGCAGCTGGACAGCAGGGTGAGTCAGCAGCAGGGGAGGATCACTGGAGCCTGGTGGCCTACAGCACCAGATCAACCAGTGCTCCCAGTGGCATCAGCCTCCAAACCAAAGAGGTTTACAGCGCTGACCTCACAGCTCTGCACATCTTACTGGACAAAAACCACAAAAGCTGGAAAAGTGGGCAGAGAGAGGATGAAACAGCTGAGCTGCCTGAAGGTAGAGCTGCTTCACCGCCTCCTGCTCCCATTCTTCTGCTCCTCATCAGTTTCCTCTCATTCTGGAGCTGAAGTCTAGGAGCCAGTCTTTCTAAAGTCTCGTAGGAGCCAGTCTTTCTAAAGTCTCGTAGGAGCCAGTCTTTCTAAAGTCTCGTAGGAGCCAGTCTTTCTAAAGTCTTCTAGGAGCCAGTCTTTCTAAAGTCTTCTATGAGCCAGTCCTTCTAAAGTCTTCTAGGAGCCAGTCTTTCTAAAGTCTTCTAGGAGCCAGTCCTTCTAAAGTCTTCTAGGAGCCAGTCCTTCTAAAGTCTTCTAGGAGCCAGTCTTTCTAAAGTCTTCTAGGAGCCAGTCCTTCTAAAGTCTTCTCTGAGCCAGTCTTTCTAAAGTCTTCTAGGAGCCAGTCCTTCTAAAGTCTTCTCTGAGCCAGTCCTTCTAAAGTCTTCTAGGAGCCAGTCTTTCTAAAGTCTTCTAGGAGCCAGTCTTTCTAAAGTCTTCTCTGAGCCAGTCTTTCTAAAGTCTTCTAGGAGCCAGTCCTTCTAAAGTCTTCTCTGAGCCAGTCCTTCTAAAGTCTTCTAGGAGCCAGTCTTTCTAAAGTCTTCTAGGAGCCAGTCCTTCTAAAGTCTTCTCTGAGCCAGTCTTTCTAAATTCTTCTAGGAGCCAGTCCTTCTAAAGTCTTCTAGGAGCCAGTCCTTCTAAAGTCTTCTAGGAGCCAGTCTTTCTAAAGTCTTCTAGGAGCCAGTCTTTCTAAAGTCTTCTAGGAGCCAGTCCTTCTAAAGTCTTCTAGGAGCCAGTCTTTCTAAAGTCTTCTAGGAGCCAGTCCTTCTAAAGTCTTCTAGGAGCCAGTCCTTCTAAAGTCTTCTAGGAGCCAGTCCTTCTAAAGTCTTCTAGGAGCCAGTCTTTCTAAAGTCTTCTAGGAGCCAGTCCTTCTAAAGTCTTCTAGGAGCCAGTCTTTCTAAAGTCTTCTAGGAGCCAGTCCTTCTAAAGTCTTCTAGGAGCCAGTCTTTCTAAAGTCTTCTAGGAGCCAGTCCTTCTAAAGTCTTCTAGGAGCCAGTCTTTCTAAAGTCTTCTAGGAGCCAGTCCTTCTAAAGTCTTCTAGGAGCCAGTCTTTCTAAAGTCTTCTAGGAGCCAGTCCTTCTAAAGTCTTCTAGGAGCCAGTCCTTCTAAAGTCTTCTAGGAGCCAGTCTTTCTAAAGTCTTCTAGGAGCCAGTCCTTCTAAAGTCTTCTAGGAGCCAGTCCTTCTAAAGTCTTCTAGGAGCCAGTCTTTCTAAAGTCTTCTAGGAGCCAGTCTTTCTAAAGTCTTCTAGGAGCCAGTCTTTCTAAAGTCTTCTAGGAGCCAGTCTTTCTAAAGTCTTCTAGGAGCCAGTCTTTCTAAAGTTTTGTAGGATGAAAACTTTCTAGCCTCCTAAATCTGATCACACCCACCTATGGACACCAGCTTGATGTTCTCCTTGTCCAGGAACTCCAGCGCCACAGAGACGTTCTCCAGCTGCATCTGGCGGAAGGTGGGCCTCTGGTTGTACTTTCGGAACATTTTCTTCTGGGACAGAACCTCCAGGAGTCCGATGAGCCGCAGCCCGTCGCTCAGGTCGGTCTGCAGGTTGCCGATCCGTTTGTTGACGCATTTCAGGTGCTCGTTACACCAGCGGGTGAAGGTGTTCTGCTGGATCTTCTTCCAGGGGGCATCCTCGGCCAGGTCCTTCTCTGTTGCGGGCATTTCTGCGTCCTTATCCGACGATGCAGGGCTGGGAGCGGGCGCGGCGCTCTGGTGGAGGCGGGGGTTGGAGCTGCTCATTTTAAGCTCTGCGCTGCGCCTTGGTTCGCTGGCTGGATGTGGGTGGAGACTCCTCAGCTGCTCCTCCTTCACTTTCTCTGGCTGCTCCTCTGTGAGAGACAAGAGGAGAGACGTGAGCACCGCAGACAGAAACAGGCAGAAAGAGGGAAGAAACAGTCAGAAACGGGCAGAAGACGGGAAGAAACAGACAGAGACTGAGGAGAAACAGTCAGAAACGGGCAGAACATTTGAAGAAACAGCCAGAAAATGGGAAGAAACAGGTAGAGAATGGGTAGAAACAGCCAGAAAATGGGAAGAAACAGGTAGAGAATGGGTAGAAACAGGCAGAACATTTGAAGAAACAGCCAGAAAATGGGAAGAAACAGGTAGAGAATGGGGAGAAACAGGCAGAACATTTGAAGAAACAGCCAGAATATGGGAAGAAACAGGTAATGGGGAGAAACAGACAGAAACAGGGAAGAACACAGAAACAGGCAGAACATGTGAAGAAACAGTCAGAAACGGGCAGAAAACGGGAAGAAACAGACAGAGACTGAGGAGAAACAGTCAGAAACGGGCAGAACATTTGAAGAAGCAGGCAGAAAATGGGAAGAAACAGGTAGAGAATGGGGAGAAACAGGCAGAACATTTGAAGAAACAGCCAGAAAATGGGAAGAAACAGGTAGAGAATGGGGAGAAACAGGCAGAACATTTGAAGAAACAGCCAGAATATGGGAAGAAACAGGTAATGGGGAGAAACAGACAGAAACAGGGAAGAACACAGAAACAGGCAGAACATGTGAAGAAACAGTCAGAAACGGGCAGAAAACGGGAAGAAACAGACAGAGACTGAGGAGAAACAGTCAGAAACGGGCAGAACATTTGAAGAAGCAGGCAGAAAATGGGAAGAAACAGGTAGAGAATGGGGAGAAACAGGCAGAACATTTGAAGAAACAACCAGAAAATGGGAAGAAACTGGTAGAGAATGGGGAGAAACAGACATAAACAGGGAAGAACACAGAAACAGGCAGAACATTTGAAGAAACAGGCAGAATATGGGAATAAACAGGTAGAAAGAGACAGAAACAGACGGAAACAGGGATGAAACAGGCACAACGTTTGAATAAACAGGCAGAAAATGGGAATAAAAGGGCAGAAAGAGACAGAAACGGGAAGAAACAGGGGAGAAACAGTGCTAAAAAGGGAAGAAACAGGCAGAATATTTGAAGAAACAGGCAGAAAGAGGCAAAAACGGGAAGAAACAGTAAATAAACGGACAGAAAGAGACATTGGCGGTTCTAGGCAGGGGCCAATGGGGCCCAGCGCCCTCATGTCCTGGCCCCTGTACTGAAGACATAATACTCAAGATGATGATCTGCACTGGAACAGACATGGTTACTGATAGATCTTTTGGATCCATTTCATTCTTTTTCTTTACAAAATCTGTTTTAATAATTATTTAAAATCTTAAATAAAATCAATAAGGTGATAATTGTATTGAGATAGGATCCCAGTTTTCTTCTGTTAAATGTTTTTTTCTCAAAACAAATTAAAAAAAAACTTTTTTACAGCTTAATTTAACAGTTTTTTTAGTTCTAATTCAGATTCAATAGAAAATGATCATCTGAACTTAAATTAAGTCAAAAATATTTAAAGTTCCTAATTTCTGAATGTTTATTGACCTAATAAGACATATAATTTTAATTAAACCTAATTGAATAGAAATTTCACTTCATGCAGCTATATTAATATATTGGAATCTCTTGCCCTGTTTTTTTATTTCATGTTTTTTGTGCCCCATGAAAACAAAGCTGGTCCCCTACTGGCCCCCTGGTACATTTGGTCTAGAACACCACTGAACAGACAGAAACAGGGAAGAAAACATCAGAAACAGTCAGAAGAAAACATATTCAGAAACAGTGAGAAACAGGAATGACACAGGCAGAAACAGACAGAAATGGAAGAAATGGGCAGAAAAATGCATAAACTGTCAGAAACAGGGAAGAAACAGGCGGAAACAGACAGAAACAGGGAAGAAACAGACGGAAACAGTCAGTAACAGGGAAGAAACGGGTAGAAACAGACAGAAACCGTAAGAAACAATGAGAAAAAAACAGAAACAGAGAAAAACAGAGAAAAACAGACAGAAAGAGAAAGAAACAGACAGAAACCGTCACAAACAGACAGAAACAGGGAAGAAATGGGCAGAAACAGACAGAAACTGTCAGAAACCTAAAGAAAAAGTCAGAAACAGGAAAGAAACAGTTAGAAACTGTATAAATATTGTTTATTCTTAATGCACCTTTTTCCTCCTTGTTTGCACCTTCTTCTTTAATTACTATGCCAATATGTGACCGGTGAATGTCTCCGCTGTGAGATCAATAAAGCTCAGACACAGTCAGAAACAGGCTGAAACAGTCAGTAACAGGGGAGGACGGGCAGAAACAGACAAAAACCATCAGAAACAGGGAAGAAACAGTCAGAAACCGGAAAGAAACAGTCAGAAACAGACAAACGGGAAGAAACAGGGAAGAAACAATCAGCAACAGAGCAGAAAAAGTCAGAAAGAAGGAAGAAACAGATGGAAAAATGGAAGAAACAATCAGAAACATTGAAATAACAGTCAGAAACAGACAGAAATGGGCAGGAAAAAAGCAGAAAAATTAAATAAAAAAAATTTGATTTAAAATTCCGAAGTGGAACTAAGTAGAACTAAGAATGTAGATCAGACTGCTGATCCAGATGCTGCCTGTATCCTCACTAGAGCTATAGAAAGTAGATCAGACTGCTGATCCAGATGCTGCCTGCGTCCTCTCTAGAGCTATAGAAAGTAGATCAGACTGCTGATCCAGATGCTGCCTGTATCCTCACTAGAGCTATAGAAAGTAGATCAGATTGCTGATCCAGATGCTGCTGCCTGCGTCCTCACATAAGATCTAGAAAGTAGATTATTATAATCTATTATTCATTTGATTAGGGTGTGTGTGTCACATGATTGTGCACCACATCCTGAGAGCGGGTGGAGATGTGAAATATCTTATGAGTATAGATAATGTTGCGCTGATAAAAACAGTGAAAATCCTGCAGTACAGGAAACTATTGATCGACGGTGAAATATTAGATCCTGAATGCATCCGACTGGAAGACGCTTTCCTCAGCTGAACTGTAGAGGAAGGAGAAATGTAACCGCAGCCATTTTGACTAAATAAGGAGATCTGTGCCAGGAGCCACAGCGTGGCCCCAAGCTATGAAAAATGTTTAGTCCGTATGTGTGAGCAGTGGGTGGGGGGGGGGGATTGTTTGGTGAAAGAGAATCTGAGGAATGCTCCTCAGGCCCATAACAACCCTGGAGCCCACAGCCCAAACTAAATGCCCATAAAATAGTCCTGTTATTGTTCCTCAGCTTGGCACCAGCATTCTGCTCCATTTAAAACAATAGAACCAAGCCAGTAGTGCTTCAGCTGGGCTGTAATCTGCTCCCCTTCCTCATGTTCACCACTAATCACCCTGCCAAGGCCTTATTAAAATGCAGAGTGGTGAAGCAACAGGCAGACGCTTCATTAGACTGCAGGGAAACAGGGAGGACTCCATGCTTTCTATCCTTGGCAGAAAATGAGAGGTCAGGAAGCAGCTCTGCTGTCTGAGAAGATCAACAGCAGAAAACTAGAAGATCTGAGCAGGACAAGTTCAATACAAGTTCATGAATTAGAGTATGGCTCCATCTAGTGGTCAATCCTGGTGCTGCAGGTATTAATTGTTCTCCAATGATCCCAGAAGTTAAAATAATAGATTCAGTGAAAATCTTTGGTGGGAGCCCACTCACTCTACTGTAATACTAGTTATTATTCTTTTTATTATCTCAATAATCATGTTTTCATCACTGTAAGCAAACATCCACATAATTATTGGAAAAAAAAGACTTTTAAACGTTATTCTGTATCTAATTTATCACTATGATGACCTTCCTGTAGTAAAATGTTTAATGAACATGTCTGGAAATATGTGAACTGATGTTTATTCAGATTAAATCTTGATTCTTTACACGACCAACAGCAGCCAGAAGCGAAAGGAGGTCTGTTTGCTTCCAGACCCCAGCAGGAATCCAGGAAAGAACATTTCTATAGATAAACCAAATGTAGAAATCCTACATAGATTAAAAGTTTACCGGGTTATGATAAAAAACAAGAAACCTCATTTTGAAGCAGAGGTTTTTGTTTGAGAGCAGATCTCCAAGTTTTTCTGTGAAACATGGAAGTTTCCCTTTAGAAAACAGAATAAAGGAAAAACAAGCATTGGGAAAACCAGCCAGTGGTCCCCGGATAAACACAGCGCTGGGTTTAAACGCTGCACATGTTCTGAAATGAATGATTTAATAACATAAATAAAGCAAAAATATAGTTTTAATGAAATAATTGGGTTAATATTAGAACTGAAGTATTTACCTGAGTACAGGTGAGCTGTTTAAATTAGGTGAAGCCTTTTTTACTTTGCATCTAGAGTTTAGAGTTTTCCAAAAAGTCTCATTTTGATGTTTCCCCACATGTGCATGAACTTTAACCTATGACCTAAATCATTTTCCTGATTATTCCATGTGCTCTATGTTGAACAACTTTTTGTTAAGAGTTTGTTTTCAGGCCTTGATGACGGCATGAAGGAAAAGCTGTCTGCTGAGTCAGCATCAGAACGAAGGACCATCTGATTAACTTGGACACGTCTGTCTGCTGCAAACCAAGTCATTTAGGCGAGATGTTAAACCTCTAATCATTTCAAGCAGATACTTTAAAAGGATCAGCAATGATAGCAGAGACCTCTGCAAGGTCAGACAGAAATAATCAGAAGTTAAAATGACTCTCTGAACAAAAACAATCTGATTTATTAGCAGAAATCCACAAAAATGTGTTTTTAGATCAGCCAGCTAATTTATCAGACTGTTGCACGGATAATTCACCTTGTTTTTAATGTCAGACATGCCTGCATGATCATAAACATGCTGCCTGTGGAGGAAAATCATCAGGCTGATCTAAATGAGTCCTTTCAGAGTAAAGGCGGCTGATTATATCCTGGACCCTTCAGTATAAGAGGGGCTAATGTTAGTATGTTGGAAATATGAACAGATCTTTGAAGGCTTGAATCATTGAGAAGAAAGTTGACTTATTATCTGTAATACTGTTAAACTAGGAGACAGAAGGGAAGAGATGAAACTGATTTTGACTCAGATGTTCAGGTCAGGGATGCAGGAGGAGAAGCAGAGAGAAGGGATTCATTCATGGTTATTATCCTTTAGAAAAGACAAAGGAAAGGGTTGTTTAATCACAGTGAGTGTTTCCCATTTTAGAATTCATTTAACTTTTAACTGCTCATAGAAAATCTATCTTAATATGTAAATATTAAAAAAGTAATTTTATACAGTGATAGTGTGCCGTGCCAGGCAGCGGCGCAGCCAGCAGCACGCGACATCACCGCTAACCACATGGCAATAAGTCAGATGCACAGATTACAGCTTTCTGATGTTTGCTCTTCCTTTGCTTTCTGCAGACGAGGCGGCGGCATCGCCTGCATGCACCCTGTTTACAGCTTCACATCCTGCACCACTAACCCCTTCCTTTATGTTGGTGATACATCTCTTTTCTTTTCATGGGTTCTTCAATCACTCCTTTTCATTGGTCTGTCTTTTACAAGCAGTTTGATGGATCAATTTAATCAGTTTGGTCAAATATAAAGTTAGTTAGTGTCTGCCATTTAAAACTGCAAAAAATAAATAAATAATCCACAATAAGAAAAACTTTAATCAAGCCGTGATAAAGTGATAAAGTTAGAGGGGGTCGCGGATTATGGAGCCTCCAACAGCCAAACACCCCCTGATGCTGCCTCCTAGCAGGACATCATCCAGTGATGGTTCCTGGTTCAGGTGTCAATAGACTCCTTATATTTCACCATGGGGCCTGGTCTCCTGCATGGTGCAGGACTGATCGTCTGAGATGGAGAGGTCCTACTGAGCAGCAGAGTCACTGCTGAGCATCTAACATCCTGTGACTCCCCGAAAACATCAGGAAGAAATGGAACATCAAGAGATGTTCCACCAGCAGACTGCTGACGTGGCTGATATGACCAAATGATGCTAATGGTTAGAGACGGCCGTGCTAAAGGACGCCACAGAAGCTCCGATCATGGAGGCCTGGAGCAACAGGTGCCCAGATCGATCCAGCATCTCACAGCAGGGAGGAAGATCCTGGCAGGAAGGGAATACATGGAACGCCGTGACCAAGGGGCTGGAATCACGACGCTGCCGTAGTGATCAATAAGGCTGGATCAACGGCGGAAACATCTGTCCAGATGTTTTCCTGAAAACAAACATGGAGGATACCAGGGACTCCGGAAATAACTAGAGAGAGCTGGAAGGTGAAGGCAACTGGGGGGCAGGAACCCCCCACTGGAGAAGATGCTCCAACATCAGAGACAACCTTAGACTCCCTCTCCGAAACAGAGGACCTGAACTTTGGACCAAGAACTCATCCACCCCAGAAATACCAGACGCTCAGAGACGAGCTGGAGAAAACCCGGAAGGTCAAGGCATCGGTGGAACCCGTGGTCATTGGGGGGCAGCGACCCCCAAACTAGAGGAGTTACAGCAGATCCCTGGAAATACATCAGACACCTTGGTCCAGAAGAGTGTAGCTCTAGGAACAGCTAAGATACTGGCAGAACCCTCAAGCTCCTAGGGCTCGAAGGGGGGAAGACCTTCACGTATTCTGAGGATGCTAGAGGGACACCAGGAGGAACAGGTTTTCCTATCTGTGACTGTAATGCTGCAGGAGCAGCAGGCGGTGAAATTTTCTGACTATCTTTACTTGAATCATTTTTTTTGGGGGGGGGGGGGTTCTTCTAACTTTCCCTCCATTTCCAGGAAGCTGTTCCTTGTTCCCTTCAGCGTAGCTTTTTGTTGTTTTTCATCCATCATGGCGGATAGCAGCCCTTAGGACTAAATCTAGACGCCACTGATCTACAGATTTAATGACGTTCCACTAATTAGAAAAACTGAGAGCAGATATTATTAGTAGTTTATCATTTTATTACGGTCTTAGTTGTTGCCATGTGGTCAAGTTGTTCAGTATCATAGCTGTAGTTTCTTAGATTCCATCTTAAACCTCTATTCTATAGTGAAGATCTGAGGAGAATCAAGACTCTCCTGTTTTCCCTTTGGTTAGTCTTTAAATGAGAAATAATAATAATAACAGCTTTCCTTATCTGTGGCATTTCTATGTTCTTTCCAGGTGGTGTAGAATCTATAGCAGGTGGTTCTACATATCGATTATTCAGGTGGATTCTGAAAGTTACAGTTTCTTTAAAATGACTCTGAAAATTATAGAACATTTTATTTGTAATTTAAGGAATTTTAAAAAGTGAGTACTTGAGTAGATGTTTGACTGAGTAACTTTTACTTTTAGTTCAGTGAGATGATACTTTTACTCAAGTACTACTATTGAGTACTTGGTCCACCACTGCTGATTTCTGTTATTTCTAGATCTATCTTTCTACAGTGAGGTGACAGCAGACCCCACCCTGCGCTGTAAAAACACCGATGAAGGAATAGTTGATTCATTGGGTCTGATCAAACAGCAGGGGGCCCTCCTGCTCCCAGTGTGAAGCAGAGCCCTAAAAAGGAGAAGGATTAGAGAGTCTGCTCATCATCTCTGATCAGAACAACTTTCATCTCTAACCTCTGAAACAGCAGAGCAGTGATCAAAAATAAACCTTAAATACAAATTAAATAATAATAAAAAGCTGCTGGATAAGATCAGACACTTTAGGCTACTGGAGGATTAAAAAGGATCTTAGGAAACAGAGAAGATGTTGAAGGATCACAGCTACCATGCAGCTTCTGCTCCTCCTAACCAGACCTCCTAACCCTCCTGTCTGAAGAGGAGCTCTAACTCTAGTCTCCTGATGCTCCTCACTGACCTCCTGCAGCTGCTCAGTGGGGTGAGCAGGACTTCACCCCCCCTCCCCAAACACGCACACCTCCTCAGAGGAGATCCAGACTCACCTGCCTGCTGACCTGCGGGGTTCCGCTCAGTCTCTGCGCTGCGGTCACTGTGATCACAGAAGGTGCTCCTCGGTGCGTGGGGTCCCGGTCCTCCTACCCACGCGCAGTCCCGGTTGTTGAAATGGTTTGAGCTTCTGGTGTAACGGAAAAGAAAGAGATAGAGCGCTCCTCTGCGCTCCTGCCTATCTCCGCCTCCCCCCTCTCTCTCTTTCTCTCTCTGTTCCACCGTCAGGTCCTTAATTGGTAAACGGGTGAAAGATCAGGGGGGGGGGTTACTCCCCCTTCTCTAACTTTTTCTCTCCTCTCTCTCTGTTTTTTTTTTTTTTGTAAAGGCGATGTAATGGCCGCGCCTCCGGGATTTTAAAGCTGTGATGTCATCTTCCATGAACTCCATCTTTGATTTCCCCCTCTGGGTGAGACAGCAGACCCCCCCATTTCCCAGCAACATCACCTTGTTCTCTAATCCCACCCTGATTGGTCAGTTCCTCTGGATGCTGCAGAAGGCAGCCTTGGATCAGGGAAGCAGCATCTCCAGCCTCTGAGGTGACCTCCTTCCACAGGTGGTCAGTCTGCAGAGAGAACTCAGGGCAGAGAGTAGGGAGCTGCTGTTGGTTCTGTTTTAGGTTTCTTTTTGAGTTTTCAGTTAAATTTTTTATTCTTGTCTTTCTGTGTTTCTATTTTATTGGGTTCATTTTCTTTTTGTGTTATTCTAGTGTTTTTGGTTATATTTTTTAGTTCTTTTGTATTTCTTGAGTTACTCTCTGTTGCCCCCTTGTGTTTGTTTCCTTCCCCCTTGGCTTCCTTCTAGTCCCTTCCATCCACACCTGCTCCCAATCAGCTCATTAGTCCAGTCTTTTGATCTGTCTCCCATGTATACCCGCCCTGTGCAGCTCCTCAGTGCTGGTTCCTTGTTGCTGCTTTTGCTGTTTCATCATCTCTGGCTCCCCATGTCAGTTTTCCCCTGAAGTTTTCTGTTTTTTTGGTTCCTTGTATTTTTGTACTTAGGATTTTTGCTTCAGTTTACTTATTAAATCTTCAAGACTCACTCCTGCCTCCTGCATTTTGGTCCTCAAAATCCTCCACTCCACCGTGAAAGAAGGAACCAGCCAAAAGTATGGACGTAGCTGAGCTGAACATAGAAGGAAGCCAGACATTCCTAAGCCAGAGGCCCTTAGCAAACTACTCCTCCTTTCTCCTCAGTTAGTTCCCCTCCGGTGTCCTAGCTCCAACATCTTAACCTGTTAGCATCTCTACTCCTTTGACCGATTCACTTGGTGCTCCACCTCAGACAGAACGCTCTGTGCCGTCCAGACTCATCTTCACCTCCAACCACCTGGTCAGCCTCAGGTGCCCTAGGATGGTTCACTGGGGCCATTGCTATCAAAGCTGTCCCAGGATGGTTCACTGGGGCCATTGCTATCGAAGGCGCACCAGGGTGGTTTACTGGGGTCATTGCTATCCAAGGTGCCCCAGGATGGTTCATTGGGGCTATTGCTATTGAAGTTGCCCCAGGATGGTTCAGTGAGACCATTGCTATTGAAGTTGCCCCAGGATGGTTCACTGGGGCCATTGATAATAAAGCTGCCCCAGTATGGTTCATTGGGGCTATTGCTATTGAAGGTGCCCCAGGATGGTTCATTGGGGCTATTGCTATTGAAGGTGCCCCAGTATGGTTCATTGAGGCCATTGCTATTGAAGGTGCCCCAGGATGGTTCATTGGGGCCATTGCTATTGAAGTTGCCCCAGGATGGTTCAGTGGGACCATTGCTATTGAAGTTGCCCCAGGATGGTTCAGTGGGACCATTGCTATTGAAGTTGCCCCAGGATGGTTCAGTGGGACCATTGCTATTGAAGTTGCCCCAGGATGGTTCAGGGGGACCATTGCTATTGAAGTTGCCCCAGGATGGTTCAGTGGGACCATTGCTATTGAAGTTGCCCCAGGATGGTTCACTGGGGCTATTGCTATTGAAGCTGCCCAAGGATGGTTCATTGGGGCCATTGCTATTGAAGTTGCCCCAGGATGGTTCAGTGGGACCGTTCCTATTGAAGTTGCCCCAGGATGGTTCACTGGGGCAATTGCTATTGAAGGTGCCCCAAGATGGTTCACTGGGATCATTGCTATTGAAGTTGCCCCAGGATGGTTCAGTGGGACCATTGCTATTGAAGTTGCCCCAGGATGGTTCACTGGGGCCATTGCTATTGAAGGTGCCTGAGGATGGTTCACTGGGGCCATTGCTATTGAAGGTGCCCGAGGATGGTTAACTGGGGCCATTGCTATTGAAGGTGCCCCAGGATGGTTCACTGGGGCCATTGCTATTGAAGGTGCCTGAGGATGGTTCAGTGGGACCATTGCTATTGAAGGTGCCCCAGGATGGTTCACTGGGGCCATTGCTATTGAAGCTGCCCCAGGATGGTTCACTGGGGCCATTGCTATTGAAGCTGCCCCAGGATGGTTCACTGGGGCCATTGCTATTGAAGGTGCCCGAGGATGGTTCACTGGGGCCATTGCTATTGAAGGTGCCCCAGGATGGTTCATTGGGGCCATTGCTATTGAAGGTGCCCCAGGATGGTTCATTGGGGCCATTGCTATTGAAGTTGCCCGAGGATGGTTCACTGGGGCCATTGCTATTGAAGGTGCCCCAGGATGGTTCACTGGGGCCATTGCTATTGAAGGTGCCCCAGGATGGTTCACTGGGGCCATTGCTATTGAAGGTGCCCCAGGATGGTTCATTGGGGCCATTGCTATTGAAGTTGCCCGAGGATGGTTCACTGGGGCCATTGCTATTGAAGGTGCCCGAGGATGGTTCACTGGGGCCATTGCTATTGAAGTTGCCCCAGGATGGTTCACTGGGGCCATTGCTATTGAAGGTGCCCCAGGATGGTTCATTGGGGCCATTGCTATTGAAGGTGCCCCAGGATGGTTCACTGGGGCCATTGCTATTGAAGGTGCCCCAGGATGGTTCACTGGGGCCATTGCTATTGAAGGTGCCCGAGGATGGTTCACTGGGGCCATTGCTATTGAAGTTGCCCCAGGATGGTTCACTGGGGCCATTGCTATTGAAGGTGCCCGAGGATGGTTGTGTGGGAGCATTGCTATTGAAGTTGCCCCAGGATGGTTCACTGGGGCCATTGGTATTGAAGCTGCTCCAGGATGGTTCACTGGGGCCATTGCTATTGAAGCTGCCCCAGGATGGTTCACTGGGGCCATTGCTATTGAAGGTGCCCGAGGATGGTTCACTGGGGCCATTGCTATTGAAGTTGCCCCAGGATGGTTCACTGGGGCCATTGCTATTGAAGTTGCCCCAGGATGGTTCACTGGGGCCATTGCTATTGAAGCTGCCCCAGGATGGTTCACTGGGGCCATTGCTATTGAAGTTGCCCCAGGATGGTTCAGTGGGACCATTGCTATTGGAGTTGCCCCAGGATGGTTCACTGGGGCCATTGCTATTGAAGGTGCCCAAGGATGGTTCACTGGGGCCATTGCTATTGAAGCTGCCCCAGGATGGTTCACTGGGGCCATTGCTATTGAAGGTGCCCGAGGATGGTTCACTGGGGCTATTGCTATTGAAGTTGCCCCAGGATGGTTCAGTGGGACCATTGCTATTGAAGTTGCCCCAGGATGGTTCACTGGGGCCATTGCTATTGAAGGTGCCTGAGGATGGTTCACTGGGGCCATTGCTATTGAAGGTGCCCGAGGATGGTTAACTGGGGCCATTGCTATTGAAGGTGCCCCAGGATGGTTCACTGGGGCCATTGCTATTGAAGGTGCCTGAGGATGGTTCAGTGGGACCATTGCTATTGAAGGTGCCCCAGGATGGTTCACTGGGGCCATTGCTATTGAAGCTGCCCCAGGATGGTTCACTGGGGCCATTGCTATTGAAGCTGCCCCAGGATGGTTCACTGGGGCCATTGCTATTGAAGGTGCCCGAGGATGGTTCACTGGGGCCATTGCTATTGAAGGTGCCCCAGGATGGTTCATTGGGGCCATTGCTATTGAAGGTGCCCCAGGATGGTTCATTGGGGCCATTGCTATTGAAGTTGCCCGAGGATGGTTCACTGGGGCCATTGCTATTGAAGGTGCCCCAGGATGGTTCACTGGGGCCATTGCTATTGAAGGTGCCCCAGGATGGTTCACTGGGGCCATTGCTATTGAAGGTGCCCCAGGATGGTTCATTGGGGCCATTGCTATTGAAGTTGCCCGAGGATGGTTCACTGGGGCCATTGCTATTGAAGGTGCCCGAGGATGGTTCACTGGGGCCATTGCTATTGAAGTTGCCCCAGGATGGTTCACTGGGGCCATTGCTATTGAAGGTGCCCCAGGATGGTTCATTGGGGCCATTGCTATTGAAGGTGCCCCAGGATGGTTCACTGGGGCCATTGCTATTGAAGGTGCCCCAGGATGGTTCACTGGGGCCATTGCTATTGAAGGTGCCCGAGGATGGTTCACTGGGGCCATTGCTATTGAAGTTGCCCCAGGATGGTTCACTGGGGCCATTGCTATTGAAGGTGCCCGAGGATGGTTGTGTGGGAGCATTGCTATTGAAGTTGCCCCAGGATGGTTCACTGGGGCCATTGCTATTGAAGCTGCTCCAGGATGGTTCACTGGGGCCATTGCTATTGAAGCTGCCCCAGGATGGTTCACTGGGGCCATTGCTATTGAAGGTGCCCGAGGATGGTTCACTGGGGCCATTGCTATTGAAGTTGCCCCAGGATGGTTCACTGGGGCCATTGCTATTGAAGTTGCCCCAGGATGGTTCACTGGGGCCATTGCTATTGAAGCTGCCCCAGGATGGTTCACTGGGGCCATTGCTATTGAAGTTGCCCCAGGATGGTTCAGTGGGACCATTGCTATTGGAGTTGCCCCAGGATGGTTCACTGGGGCCATTGCTATTGAAGGTGCCCAAGGATGGTTCACTGGGGCCATTGCTATTGAAGCTGCCCCAGGATGGTTCACTGGGGCCATTGCTATTGAAGGTGCCCGAGGATGGTTCACTGGGGCTATTGCTATTGAAGTTGCCCCAGGATGGTTCAGTGGGACCATTGCTATTGAAGTTGCCCCAGGATGGTTCAGTGGGACCATTGCTATTGAAGTTGCCCCAGGATGGTTCACTGGGGCTATTGCTATTGAAGCTGCCCCAGGATGGTTCATTGGGGCCATTGCTATTGAAGTTGCCCCAGGATGGTTCAGTG